CCCCAAAACCCCAAAACCCCAAAACCCCAAAACCCCTTACTGTCGAAATAGGTTGGAATGTTCAAAATTATTTTTGGATAACAGAACCAACTGCTCCAGATTCATGACCATTACTAGCATCATCTGGCTGAGGAGTCACTTTCTTAGTTATTCCTTCTTCTTGATCCTTTTTCTCACTGGCTGCTTCTGGGACTCCAGCACTTGCGACGTTTTTGAAGTCATCGTCTGCTCCTGTGAGGTCAATGTTGACGAAGTCATCATCAACTGGTTTTGTGGGCTCATTTCCTCCTTCTTGTTTATTTTCTTGAGCACCCTCTTCTTTTGTATCTTCGGGTGGTTGCTTTGCTTGTTTCTGAAAGCGAAACCAATCTTTCCACTCTGGGAATACCAATGAGAGATTAGTAATGCAAACATCAATCATGTCCAAATAATGTCTAGCTTCGTATTTAGATCCAGCTCTAATAATAGGATATGTACTTGGAATAACCTCAATACTATCGATCAGGAACTCTCTGATCCAAGATAATTGGCCTTGGTGTTTAGATAAATGAAGGACCACCTTGGGAACATTTCTAAGCTCTCTGACAAGATTGATCATCTCAAGTGTAAAAAGTGGGTAATCCTTCCTGGTCACCTTAGCGATCATAAGTAAGGAATATTTATTATCCCTCATCAATGCTGCAACAAGCTCTTCCTTATATTCTTCATCTAGTTCAAATACTCTTTGAATTCTTTGGTCTTGGAGTCCATCCTCGATTGATAGGACTGCCTTAATGAGATTCTTTCTCTTTGGTAGTGTCCCCATGTTGCTTTTATGGATGTTCATTGAGAAAACAAGTTCTTTCATGAAGAACTCTGAGTTGTTCTTGTCCTCCCAACACAGATGTTTGAGCATTTCTGCCATAAACTCGTCAAAATTGGTGCCGAGTAGCCCAATTGTAAAGCATTCTCTAGTCATTATTAGTCTGATCTCTTCATAAGGAATATCAATGTGTAAATGCTCCTTTGGACCAACATAGTTCGAACTGTATGACTCTGAATTCTTAATCCCTCTGGTTACACAACTTCTCATCAAGTGTGATAGAATTTGAGTCGGAATCTTGAATTTTGGCTCAGAGATAGCTGTGCCCATTGGTCTTCTGTTCTTTACATTATAAGGAGTACAATTGTTCATTGAAAAGTCCATTAATTTATGAATTCCTTTCGCCTTGATAAGATACTTCGTCTCCATAATTCCAAGCTCAGCAAAGTATTTTAAAACACTGAAGTAATCTTCAAATTGTTGATAGTGGACTCTAGTGTCATCGAGCATTTCTTCAAAGAAGACCTGCATGAATCTAATGACCACTGACTTGGGTACTTGTTTAGCATAGAATTTTTCCTTGTCTTGGTCATATTCTGCTATCACTTCCATGTTGTACTCATTAGTATCCTCCTTAAAGAATTCTTTCTCCTCATTTTTACAAGCAAGGCCAATAGCATTGATTAAAAGGGCTCTAAAGTTCTCCCTCTCTTCATCAGATTTATTTTTTAGGAGGTGCTCAATGATCATTCTCTTGTTGTATGTAAGATATTTTAGGAACCACATGCATCCATCAGCTTGCATATCGAACATTGAGCTTAGGTTCTGTAACAAGGAGATGAACTGGAAGCTGTCCTTGATATTCTCCTTAATCTTGAGGGCAAATAAGGTACTGAATTTTATAACAAACAGTGCTGGGTTCTCCTTTATCTCTTGATCAAGTTTCTCATTGTAATCCTTTTGATCCTCCACAGCTGTAAGATTAGCAGAGAGTTCTTTGGCTTTTTCAATAGTCTCCTTTGATATATGATCTGTTTTAACAAAGATCATCCCATCGCTTCTAATTCTGTCTTCTTCTCCAATATCTTTACTATCAAGGTCTTTTTGAGGGTCGAATTTTTCTTCTTCTTTGATCTCTGCTTTTTCAGGAGTTTCATCAAACATATCAATATCCTCGATTGCCATCTCAACATTTAGATTATTTTCATTGACTCCTAAGAGTTCTGCGATTTCCTTTTGCTTGATCATCTTCTTTGTGAGAGGTGAGCTATTTGAATAAACCTTCCTCTCGAAATGATTTAGAGATAGAAACTCTCTGATAAAGTTCAAATATTCTGTATCAAAGAAGTACATTCTCTTCATAAATAACATATTGTCATCTAAAATGTGCTGATAGACGCTCTGAGGGATTCCATTGACCAAATCATCGCTTGTATTGTTTATCTGAATGGTTTCATATGGGAGAGGATTCTTCCTTTGGTAGATAATCAAATATGCGTTCCTACTTCTAGAGTAGAAACCACCAAAATTATCATTATTCTCCATCATATTGCCTCTATTTCCATCCCCTCCAAAGGTCTCTTCAGGCAAGTTCTTAATATCAAAAGGCTTGACTGTTGTATCATTGAACTCGAACCATTTGTTCTTCTGTCTATCTTTAATGTAGGAGTAATAGTGACCTCCTTCAGCACCCCCAGAGTGGACCACGACTCCAACAGCTTCGTACTGATACTTGTCTTCTTCTTGAGTTTCTTCTTTGATAAGTTCTTCATTCTCTTCACTTCCTTCCTGTTTTCCTTCCTTTTCTTCAATGCCTTCTTTAGTCCATGGCTTGATGTTGAGGTCGAGAGGGAATTCACAGTAATCATTGACCTTGTATTTTCTGAAAGTATTGAAGTCAAATTCGAACCTCTTCAGGTTTATGATTAAAGTATTAGAAGTAGAGTTCAGGAACGACCTCTTATGAGCTTTGATCTTAGTATCATAATCCTCACAGTAGTACTTGTTGTCTCCTTCGAGCACATCAGGTTTGATGTAATAGTCCAAAGCTTCCTGGATACTCTTCCTGTTTTTAATGTCTAACTGTACAGAGAAGAAGGGTTCCATTGTTTGTGAGATGTAATCATATTGGTCTTCAAGACTTTTTACTTCATTACAAATTTCACCACCAATAACCTCCTTGAGGAGCTTCTCATTCTGGGTACCTTTCAGATGGCATTCAATGTTATCAAGAATGATATTGAAGAATTCTTGAGCGTCTTGCTGCCTAGTCACATCAACTGGAGCTCCATCAATGTTGAAGGTCAGGCAGAAATCTTTAGGAGTGTGATACTTCTTCTCAGTCTCTTGAAGATTTGCAAAAATTAACTGCATCTGGAAGAGAGTGCTGAGAGTTTTCTCTTCAATGTTTACTTCACTTGCCAGGACTCCATATCTTAGATCAGGGATCATATATAGCTGTTGTAGGACAGAATTTTGGTAGCAAGTAGCTCCAAAGTTTTTAAGACCTGCAAATCCAGTGTTGTTTCTAACACCAATGTCATACTCAAATTCATCGTAGCTAACAGTTGAATTCTTCTCAATTTCGCTCATATCATTATGATAAAGGTACAGTTCCTTGAAGAGGGTGTAATAGTTATCATTGATTTGGTGTTTGCTACCAGACTCATCATATCCCTGGCAAAGATTCAAAAGAAGGCTGAAAGCCTTCTTTCTGGTTGACCTGTGCTTGAACTTTGGCAAATTAGCATCCTTATCTTCAATATTGGGCATTTCAAAGAGAAAGTTGAATAACTTCTTTGTGAGTCCATATCCTTTCTCTTCGTCACCAGCGAACTTCCTGAGCTGGGGTGTTATTTGTAGTATGGAATTAGCAAGTCCTAGATACCCTCCTAAGACCTTGTCTTCATAATCAGAGTGTCTTTCCTCAAGAGTAGGTCTGTTCTCGATCTCCTTGATACAGGTTTCAAAGACAGAATTCGCTGAGAAAATTGTCTTTGGTTCTATCTCCTCACTTTCTGGCTGAGGGCCATATGGATCTGTGAAAGTGAACAAACTCGAAGTCATCTTAATCAAAGTATTCAGCAAACCAAACATTTCTTCTCATTTTTCAGACTTTGAATTAGTCGAGGGTAAGTTCTTTAGCAATACTTTCAAGAAGTAAAACTTAGGGTCCTCATAAGGAGCTTGAGAGACTTCCTCGGCTCCTTCAGACTCTCCCTCTAGTATCTTCTTCTGAGGAGTTTTCTTAAATTGTTCCTACAATTTGAATGCCAAAATTTACCTTAGAATATTGGGTATTCTTGTTATAGTTGTTACAGATAGACTTGAAGGTGTTCGACACTGTCTTTCTAACAGATTCCTCTCCCTTGAACCTCAAAGTAGAGACAATAAAGTTCTCAAAATTATTAGAGGCATACATCACTGGGATCAGCTGATCAGGAGAGTTCACAACACATGGAAGAATCAGGTCAAAGCAAGAGTCTATCAAAAGGCTTATATTCTTATCATTATAATCAGTTACTCTGATAGCATAGTAGATAATAGAAAGTAGCTTTACTAAAAGCTTCTCTTGGTCAATTATCTTCAAGATGTTAGTAGAGTTCTCCCCTGTAACTTGATCTATTAACTTCTGGAAATCATCAACTTGTGTGCATATAGTGTTGCTACTTTTATTTTCCTTTCTACTTGAGCTCTTATTTATCTTAGTCACAAGATCAAGATCATCATTGAAAGTCACTGTTGGTTCAAAGAAGTGACTCTGATTGTTTGATGACTTAGGACTAGCAAAATTAGGAGTCCCATATGCAGAATTATCTTTAGACCCATCACTATTATCAATCAAAGGCACTGCCGGATTCGAAGACTGTCCCTGATTTCCAGTGAATTTAGCTTTCTTGATAAATGGACTAGTAGCTGACTGTGAAATAATGGAGTAGAGAAGATTGTCATCTTCACTCTTTGCTAACAAAGCAGCTTGCATAAAGATCTTGATGATATTGACCATGTACAATCCGGTCTTATGAATAGAAAAGTTAACTATAGAATTTATACTTTTATCTTTACCATTTCCTTGCTCTTCTGATCTATTCTTCTTTCTGTTATTTCTAGTTCTTCTCTGTTGTTTCAGTGATTCTTCAATATGGCTTTGTGTAACCAAGATATTCGTGATGTGTTCAAATCCTCCAAGATTAATGAATCTGATCCTCCATTCATATCTCTCCTGGAGCTCATTCTCTTCAATTGTTTCACTATCTGGTGAACAAATCAGTGAATTAATAATCTGTAAAGAGTACAGACACTTATACATATTTTGAGAGTCGATCAGGGCATTCCAATCTTCCTTTTTATTTATATTCAAACTCTTTATATTATGGTATAACTTCTTGTTAACAGGAATTTGTGTCAACAGATTCCATGCTTGATAATTGATCTCGTTAACTCCTAAATTCAGCAAATCAAACAGGAGGTCAAAGTATTCTGATTTATTAGAGATGATGAGATTCAGTTTAGATTCCTCCTCTACATCTTCCTCATTCGTCATGTCTTCGTCTTGTTTATTCTCTTCTTTCTTCTCTTCTTCCTTAGAGATGATAGGAATGTAAGCTTTTTGCTCTTCTTGTTCGGCAATTTCAATTTTGAGACCTTCAACTCCATCACCGGTGACTAGCATCAAGGCTTCTTCCATGTTATTATTGTTTTTCTTAAGGGCAAGCTTGAGTACCTCCATGTCAAGATCCGGGACTATTGCTGCAAGCATGTTCGCATTATCCTCAAGCTCTTGGTCTGAGTACATAGGAAGGTTTAGGGATGGGATCTGGTCGTCAGCAAAATCAAACCCACTGTTTTTAGATACCATGATCTTTCCTCCCTCAGTATAGCTGAAATCATTAAGTGTCTTCAAATCATTTGCTCCAATATCTTTTCCTTTATAAATCAGCAGAAGTTCATATTCATGAGGATTGGGATGGATAGCTTCGCACAACTTCTTCTTTAAATCTTCAATCTTAATGGTCTTGGGTACCATGATTTCTCCTTTGGTTGGAGAATAACCTTGCCCCATCTGGTTGGTAAACAGCACTGCAATTTCAGGAACCACTGCTCCAGACCTCTTAGATCTGTCTCTAAGTCCTTCAAATTCATGAATGAATTTACAAATTTGGTCAAGAGATCTGGCAACTCTATTCTTAGCGTTGTCTTTCTCTTCAGAAGAGTTTCCATGGGTGAGATATTTTACCCCTTCTCTGATGTGGGACATGCAAGTCTTGAGGAAATCTTCTTTGATTGTATTCAGGTTTTCAATCAAATCAGGGGACAACTTTTTGTATAGTGTCAATAAGAATTTGGACGACTTCTGATGCACCTTCTGATCCTTTGCCTGGAGAACAATCTCCCAAAGAGCTTGGATTCCGATTAGTTTGGTGTCGAATACTTCATAGGATCCAATGTAGTGGCCCTTAATGAGCTGCCCAAACTGTGCATTTATGTAGCAAAAGTACTCTTCAAAGCAATTATAAGCTTCCTCAGGGATGGTGGTGAAATCGAGACACAGTAAACTTTCAAAGAATATTAACTCAATAGTGTCATCATCAAAGATAGTTATAGCATCTCTTTTAGTGTTCTGGTAATCACTCTGTATTTTTATAATAGAGCTGCACCAGTCAAAGAAAATGGCTCTTTCTTTTTGATGGAATGAGCTATCTATGTGGCACTCCCAAAGAATTTTAATATGGACTGGCTTGATTAACTCGTCACTGTTTTTGATGAGATATTTGATAAATCCAAGTCTCTCTTCAATTTCACTAAAGTACTTCATCTCATAGATAGGATGAGTCTCTACATTCATAATAAAATCGTTCTCTCTGTAATTGTGCACTAGAGGACTCTCAGGGATAGCTTCGTTATGTCTTGGATCTCTGTGGGAGACAGAGTTTGATCTCTTTGAAATAATCCTTCTGTCATATTCCTTTTCTTTATTATCTTCATCAGTCATCGACATGTCAGTAATTGAGAGTGGCTGATTGACACCTCTAGTATTTTCTTTTTCCTCTTCATCACCATTATTACTATGCCTTCTTGCTTTTAATAGTTTAGCAGTTCTGCTCTTTGGTACAATAAAACCATCATCTTCACTTAAGGCTTGTTGCTTGATGTCTGATTTTAGCTCCGTGTCATTATCCTCACCCTCTCCGTTATCTTCGTTGACATTTTTGCTATCATTGGATTGATGAGAGCCTGCATCAGTCTGAACATCCTCTTCTTCCTCAGTATCCTCTCCTTCAGATTCAGCTTGAGAAGAAAGGCTTGACTGAGTTTCCAGGCTTTGCTCTCTATCAACATTTCTTCCAAGATGATCGTACAATAAGTCAAGGGTATTTCTCTTGAATTCGATATTTAAACTCATGAGTTCATTCATTAGAGAAAAATCTCTATCTAGTCTTCCAATCAGCTCAATTCTAGTTTTTGGGAAACATATTTCGTTCATGGCTTGTCCTGGTTCAGGGTTTTTAATCTTTTCAATATCTCCCTCAGGGAAAGTCTGGATGAACTTCTTCAAGATATTAATCATAGCAATGATAGACTCATTTTGTTGGAGCTTTTCAATTATTTTACTAATATACTTCCACTTCACTTCATCAGAGTTGTAGGTAAGAGCATGTGAGAAGGTGTCAATGGCTCCTCTATGAACTGAGATATTGATTCCCTGCACAACCATGGATTCCTGACAAAGTTTCCAGATATGATCGATAGTATCTTCTTTCATTTCTTCCTTTATCTCTTTCTCACTCTCTGGGAGATTTTCCATTTGCTTCTTGAGCTCTTCTTGCTCCCAGTCATTAAGTTTCTTCTTATCTTCTTGGCGGACTCTTGTCTTGGTGAGGCCTTTCTCCAACCTCTCTTTGATAAGTGCGAAGTCATCTTGAGTAGTAACAACTCCTTCATCTTTCTCTTTATCTTCTTCATCGGTGGATTGGTGCTCATTCTGCTTCCTTACCTCAACTTTGTTTTCCTCTTTAGAGACTTCAATGTCAAAGATGTTGTTAACCTTGTCGATGCTTCTATTCCTCTTATTCTTCTTGACCAAAGTATCTGAGGGAAATTTATCCAGGCTGCTAATGTTGATAGAGGGGTATATTTCCCCAAATCTTCTTCCTGTATTATCAGGACTGTTATGCCTTCCTTTCGAAGGCTTTGAGCTATCCTTCTCTTCTCCTCCAAGAGAGAAAGATCTGGTCTTTTTCTCTCTCCTTTTTCCAATTCCAGTCAGATCAATAGCTTGTATGTTAAGGATGTCTCCCATGAAGTCATCTCTTCTTTGGGTCTTCCCAAAACCAGCTTCTTGAGCAGCTTTGTCGGTCATAGGTCCTTTACAAGAGTTTTTATTTAAATGCTTCAATAGCTGCAGGATAAATTTACAGTATTCAGGGTTGTCTAACTGCTTTAGCTTTTCGAATAAGAATTTGGCATGACTTGGCTTCATCTTTAATGAGAGTGTTGACAAGACTTTCAGGATATTCACTCTATAAGCATCATGCTTGTTGATAGCACAATCCCATATCAACTCAAAATTCTTTTCATTTAGTTTATCTTTGGAATAGAGGAAACTTAGGACTGCATAGTACTTGACCACTAACTCTGAATGTAACTTTTCTCCAAAGAATAAGCCAAAGATGTCATTATCTAGCAGCCATTGTAGGAACAACTCAGAATTTAGCCATAAATCTTCCATATTTACAAACATTTTTCTTTTCCAGGTGCAGTCAAAGCTGCTTCTGTTGACTAAATTCACCTTGGAAATGAGAATGTTCAGTCCATGAACTCTTTTCTCTATATAAGGAGTGTTTAAAAATCTAAGGGCTAGCTCAAGCTCGAACTTCTGAACTATCTCATCAGCTTTCTTTCTGTCTTCATCGTAAACTCCTTCTAGGACGAATTCAAATCAATTGATGAATTTCTCAAGATTATCTTGAGATATTGTTTTAAGCTTCTCATCAGGGAAATTCTTGAATAATTGAAGAATCTTGTCAACTAGCACAGTGAAGATCTGGAGCTTAAATCCTTCCTCCAAATAAGGGGCGGTGGATATACAAATATCGAAGTATTCTCTTAGCTGGTCAATACTCATGTTAGGGCTACCATCAAGAGTCTTGAGGATTTCAGCGAATCCATCAAGCTTGCAGAATGCTTCTACATTAACAGCAAAGAATGGGGAGTAAATAGTCCTCTTGACATCAGTAAAGTCGTCAATATGGGTGAAGATCACTGGATTCACCTTAGAGACAGCTTCAATTTCCTCTTTAGCCTCCTTCATTACTTCTCTAGTGAACTGGATACTGTAGAAGTAGGCATCATCGTTAAGTAGAAGTCTAAGTGTCTTTAAATTTTCTGAATTAAGTTTTTCCTTCTTGGCTCTCTTATACATCCAATACTGAAAGAAGCCATTAATAATAGCCTGAATGTTAATCTCAATCTTATGGAATCTATTAGAAAATGATCAGAAAGGTCGACCGAGGACTTACTTTCTCTTAGACCAGATATTGATGAAGTTTCAGACTAATTCATCAAAACTCTCAGGTAATTTGCCATCGTCGATTCTATCCATGGTCAGCCTGAGATCATTCACAATCCCTTCCACGTTCATATTCTGATCTACCAAATTAGGTACAAATAAAATACTCTTAATTACGTCAAACTTATAGGCATTCAAAGTTGATTTGACCTTGTCAACATCTATACCCCAAAGTTAGAGCTTGCTAGAACAGTCCAAGGATGTCCCTCATGGCAGCTAGACTAAACTAATCTCTTCTTCATGAAATCCCAAGGGATATGCCCAGAAATATCTTGGCAAGCTTACCTAAATCCTGTTCCATATCTTGATTTCCAGTAATAATTTTCTCTTCTCTAAAGAATAAGGTTAGAACACTTGGTCACTCAAGAAGTAGCTCTCACTAATCAAATTTTATCGGAGCTGATATAACTTACCTTGCCTCTTGAGGCTGGTTGTCCTGCATCGGCACATCTTCTCCTTTATCAGCCATTTCTAAAAATCTTTATTAATTTCCAACATAAAACATATTGATTGGGGTTTTGGGGTTTTGGGGTTTTGGGGTTTTGGGGTTTTGGGGTTTTGGGG